CAGGTCAATTCGACTACAATTCGACTAATATGAATGTGACCCTGAGCAATTATTAAGTCATCCCTGCAAATTGATTGAACAATATTTATTAGATTTAATAAACAATTGACAGAAAAAAATGTTCTGTTTTGTACATTCTTAAACAGCTATCGATCTCCTGTTGCATGTGTGATGATAGTAGTTCTCTGTCAGGGAACTCTACGACTGAACAAGGGAGGGCACATTCATACGGAACAATTGCGCCCGGCTGTACCTTCTCCCAAGCTTCTTCTGCCTCCTTTGCCCTAGCTTCATCGAGCGGTGGAGATGATATGGTAATCGGCGTGGAAGACTTCATTGACTGCTCAACCTCTGTCTTCTCAGTCTCTTCTGACATTATTTCGCTGCTCAACCTCTGTCTTCTCAGTCTCTTCTGATATTATTCTTGAGCTCTCTTCGGCCTGCGCATACTCCAGCTCATCAAACGCCATCGTCTCACGACTTCCAAGCTAGCGAACGAGAGAAATGTGAAACCCCAACAGAGCGAGCGACGAAAACGTAGAAGAAAAACCACCGGAGAGTAATTTTGAATCGTCGACATTCTAAAATGTGCGGTACTCGAATAGACGCTGACTCGTGCCTCATTAAATTTTTTTCTTTTTTTTAAAATACATGGACAAACGGGTCCACATTTTCCAGCGACCAGACCGTCATGACCACGATCTCCGAGCGGACCTTTGTGTTTCGTGCTGCTTTGCAGCTGCGAATAAACCCTAGTTATATACCTTTGTTCTAGTGGTTGTGGAGAAGGTTTTTGGCAGCGAGAATAGCTGTGTCGTGGACTACTCTTGACCGTTTGGTTCGTTTCTTTTGGTCTTCATCAACCCTGGTTTCTGGAGCATAAGCTGGAGACTGTTATTCTTTTCCTAGTTTATTCTTGTTTGATTTTGTTTATCTGCTGCTCTGCGGGGGATCGGTTATGAAGGATTCCGATGCTACGCGTCGTAGCAAATCACGGGAGGTAATGAAGTCCTTGACTTCCCTCGTTTAGAAAATTTCTTGTGAACAAATGTTTTGTTGCCTGCTGAGATTAGTTAACCTTTAATTTGATTCAAATGGGAGATCGTATTTTCCTTTCGTCTCTGTTGTCATTTACAAGTCATTTTTTGTTGTCTTCGAAAGATGACGACTGTTTTTTCCTCCCTTTTTTTTTTCTAAAAGAAGCCAGTGTACTGCAGCTTGAATTTTTTTTGTATGTTGAACAAGGTTTTCTACGTTTTTATTTTTTGCTAGGTTATTTGCATTTGTTGGTGATAGGAAGGCTGGTTACTTTTTACAATCCAATCAGAAACCGGGCCACCCTGGACTAAGAAATCATTGTTCAGCAGCTAAATTTGGTGCCTTCAATTCGTTTAGAAGACTGATTTCACATTGTAGAAACTGTAGTAGAGGAAATGTTGCTTCCGGGAGATCTAGCGTAAAAGAGAACTTCTGGAACGGTACTAGCAGCAGAACTTTCTACTCTGTCCCATTCGGTAAGCCTTTTGTAACCAGCCACGCTCGACTAAGTTGGAAGAAGCTCACTTTGATTTATTCTCCTGGAGGTCCACTGTTCTCACCAGTTGGTAGGATTGCGTGTACCTTGAGCTTGGCCTTGACTCGATTCCATGTTATTCCCGGCATTCTTGCTTTGAGTGTTGGGGAGTTAGAATGGGTGCAGAAAACTCACGCGGATGGGCATTTCTTCTCTGCGGGGAACGGTCTTTATATTGGCGCACAGGATGGACGTTTGTATATATCTTCGATCTTTTATTCATTCATAGAATGTGTTTTTCTAATCTTCCGAGCAGCCTACTTGGCAGTTCTCTTCTTTCCAGCCATTTTGATGGCTCCATTTGCAGATTCCTTTGGTGTTGAGTTTAGGAAGACATGGCTTCTGCTTGTCCATGGAACTCTTGAGCAAGCAGGTCCAGCATTCATAAAATGGGGACAGTGGGCAGCCACTCGACCAGATCTCTTCCCTAATGACCTCTGCACGGCACTTTCAATGCTTCACAGTAAAGCACCCGCACATAGCTTCACGTACAGTAAGAACACTATTGAGAAAGCATTTGGTCGGAAGCTTGATGAGATTTTTGAGCAGTTTGAGGAGTCTCCTGTGGCATCAGGTAGCATAGCACAAGTTCATCAAGCTTCCCTTAGGTTTCAACATCCCGGTCAGAGGTTGAGTAAACCTATTCCTGTTGCTGTGAAGGTTAGGCATCCTGGGGTGGGTGAATCTATAAAAAGGGATTTCACAATTATTAATTTTGTTGCAAAACTTTCGAGTTACATACCCGCCCTTAATTGGTTACGACTGGATGAAAGTGTTCGTCAGTTTGCGGTGTTCATGATGTCACAAGTAGATCTCGCAAGAGAAGCTGCTAATTTGAGTCGGTTTATTTACAATTTTCGTAGATGGAAGGATGTGTCATTCCCAAAACCATTTTATCCACTCGTGCATCCTGCTGTTCTTGTGGAGACGTTCGAACCTGGGGATTCTGTGACTCACTATATTGATGGACTTGGTGGAAACACACGTATTAAAAGTGATCTTGCGCATATTGGTACACATGCGCTCCTCAAGATGCTTTTGGTATGATCCTCTTAGATAACCAACCACTATTAAGATATTAATAATTTAATGACCTGAAGATTGAAGGCTTGTTTGAGATCAATTTTATTTTTAGTTTTAGTTTTAGTTTTTTCTTTTGTTTTTAAAAGCCTGTTTGTTCAATTTGTTTTTTACATAATTTTAGTTTTTTTATTTCTTAAAACAAAGTAATATGTTTTTGAAATTACTCAAAATAATATTTAGGTGTTTTGAGTATTTTTAAAGACAAACATACTCTAATCAAGTGGTCATACTTGTTTTGTTTCAAATCAAAATTGAAAACAAAACAAAAAAAGAATAAAAAAAACAAAAATGATGCCAAAAGGTCTCTAGATTTTTTGCATAAGTTTACGTAAATTTGTTAGGGTTTGTTTGGGATCCATTTTATCTTGGTTTTTATTTTTGTTTTTTCCTTTGTTTTTAAAAGCATGTTTGTTTAATGTGTTTTCAACATATTTTATTTTTGTTTTAAAAACAAATAAACATGTTTTTGAAAATACTCAAAATAATTTTTGGATGTTTTTGAGTGTTTTCAAAAGCAACCATATCTTGATCAAACATATTGAACATGTTTAGTTTCAAATCAAAACATAAACAAAATAAAATAAAACAAAAAATAGAAAATAAAAAACAAAAGTGACCCCATAAGGCCCCTATTTAATTGGGTTGTTTGACTCATCAAATGTTGAAAACATATATCATTTGGTAGACTATCATGCAGCAATACAACTAGGGACTATTTTGCAACAATAATCACCATATTATTAGGCCATGACTTGGATGTTTTTATGTGTTTTTACTTTATTTTATAGGTGGATAATTTTATTCATGCAGACATGCATCCTGGAAATATCCTTGTTCGATTGCCTCAAAGAAAAAGGTCAAGAAAAAGGCTCTTTAGACCAAAACCTCATATCATATTTCTTGATGTTGGGATGACAGCTGAGCTTTCTAAAAGTGACCGCCGTAACTTGATGGAATTCTTTAAGGCTGTTGCTCTTCGAGATGGCAGAACAGCTGCAGAATGCACATTAAGATTATCAAGAAAGCAAAGTTGTCCAGACCCAAAGGCCTTCACTGAGGTAACCATGTTAAAGGTTCTAGAGACTATATATCTCTAATTGGATTGCTTTGGATTTACTTTACCTTTGAATTTTATTTGCTACTCTTACTTTGGATTGGGCCCCTATAATTCCAGTTTTTTTGTTGGGTGTTTTCCCTTTTTTCAGTTACAAATCATTGTTGAAATTTTAATTTTCTTCATTAAAAATTGGAATTGAAATCTACAGTTTTTTGAGTTTTGTAGCTCAAAAAAACTGAAGTGTAAATGAGATCATTCATTTTTTTTTTCAAGGAATCTTATCTTCTTCTACTGAACACCCAATGTTAAAGGTTCTATTTGGTATATTTAACCTTATCTTACTTCGCAATTTACCATTCATTATATATTTAATGGGCTTTTAGCATTTATACGTCATCCACCCCTAACTTGGTTGAGCCCTACGCATTGCCAAATTTTACAGCCTAAACCATCATTATTGGGCAACTTGTGAGTATCTATTTTGCAATATCGTGAATCATTTATTAGTGATTCATTTGATTGCAATAATCATGCATATTTGTGAACAATAGGGTTTCAAATCTACCAGTGCTTTAGGTAAAAAAATATGACTTTACACATTAGACTAGAACATCCCAATATCTTGGACAAGTAGGTTACATAAATAATTTAATTATTTCAAAATGTTAACGGCAAGAGAATTCTTGGTTTAAGGTAATCCACGATTAGAAAAATTAAGCAACAAATGAGAAGAAAGTAAATAGAGGGGAAAAAACACTATATTTAAGTGGTTTGACATTTTATGACCAATTTCCTCTGTGAGGGGACGGGAGAATTTCTTCCTGTATCTAAGAAAAATGAGCAAGCAAGCGCAGCAAAATTTTTATTTTAATTTTAGTCTAGTATTTAGTGTCGTCCTGCGATTTCTCTCTTTCGAGAGAATCGAGTTGAGTATTTATACAAATTGTCATCTTGGGAGATGAATCATTAGTCTCTTAAATGATTTTGAGAGCTTGTGCCAATGTATGAGCTGTATCATTTTATTGTTCAGATTTTGTGTGTTATGCCTTGATGAATATTAATTTCTTTATAACCGGAGAATTTAATTGCATTGATAATGGCTTTGGAATTTTACAATTGAGATTTTCTTTAGAAGAACTATGGGCTGATATGCCGCCGAGAGAATCAACATTCTTTAGAAGCTATTTTTCTCGTGATCTATTTGAGAAGCTTATTACTATTAGAATCATTTTAGCTTAAGCTTCATCCTTATGATTCTTTGATGCTGCCACATGTGCAGCTGAGATTGCTCTAAGGACTCTAGGAATTTCAATGATTAATTTTTTCAACATATTTTGGAAGTTTATAGATAATATGAAATTCCAAAAATGTAAGTCCTTTATGTTCCTTCTTCTTTTGCGTGCGCTTCTTTATATTCTTCTAATGGTGAGAGGATGTGAAGATTCGGTTTTGTTTTCTTTGCAAAAATTGATAAGTAGAATAGAACATGATGCAACTTTGCTAATTTAGTTATGCCTAGGTATGCTGCTCCTTCTGAAATGTTAATGCGGTAGCTTTTGCACTATATACTATTGTTATACCATTAAAGAGTTAAGTTTCAAAGAAGGATTTAGCGGAACAAGTAGACATTCATGACTAAATTCGAGATGAATTTAATAGGATAACTTATCAGTAGTATATCGCCACTAAGGAGCAATTGAGAATTATCTTTTCTCATAATTTGATTAATTAAAATGTTGATATTATATCTAGGATACATCCTCTTTTGTATTGAAAAACTATTGAACTTGATTGACGAAAATATGATATTTTATCTACAAAGTTAAGGTATGCCTAGGAGCCATAGGGACAAGAGTATTATAAAGATTAATTTTTATGTCTAAAATAAGGATAAAAGAACGGGAAGATCTGATGAGGCTTGTTGAATGCATGACTAAGCTCTTAGAGAGAAGTTTGCCTTAAATTTTGGATTGAAATCCGGGATTTTGAGAAGAAAGCTTTGTGTTGGTAACACAAGTGATTACTCTTCAAAACGATGAGATTCACTAAGTACTTGACAACGCAAATGATGATCTGAAAAAGAAACCCGATTCCAATAATATTATGGATGAATATGTTGAATCTAGTTGGTATTCTGAGGATTCTCTTAGGCATACAGAGGATATTACAACACAATAATACTTACTAAACAATTTTTTCCTGCTTGGTTCAAATGATGATTCAAGGAAGAGGAAAAATAGGATACCTAAATGGCACAATCCGCTAACTTGAAATGTTTGAACCTTCTTTTCCAATTTGATATATCAACAATGTCTTGGCTTATCAACTCTATAATAGAACACATTGTATTTAGTCTACAATACCACTCAAGCAATTTGGGAGAAAGCCAACGAACTCAAGTGACATTTTTTATTGTCGAAGTTACTCCCAGTTGTGTGATTTATGAAATCATGCTTATAATCTCATGCAAGGGAGCATGATTGTCATTGTGTACTTCACCACACTTATAGAAATTTGACAAAAACTAGATATGCAGCCAAATGATTGGCGTGGGGGAGTGGGCAAGTTAATTCTGCAGACTTGGGGAGAAAGTAAAAATTTTTAATGTACTTGTAGGTCTCAATAAAGAACTTGATGAAGTTTGCTGAAGAACCTTAGGGATTTGTCCCCTTCCAAAGATTCAATAATTATTTGCTAATGTTTGAAAGGATTGGTCTACTTCCCAAATTTTTGCCATTGGAGAATAATGCTTAAGAGGTAATAAGAATGTGATCATAACTAACGAAAATATGCTTGTCATTAAAAGTTCGGAGCATAACCCGTGCTTAAAGGATTTGTCTTTTAGATGCCTCCATCTAATTCTATGATCATGATTCCTAATATTCTTTATCTTACAATTCTTCATCTTAAAATTCAAAACTAATAGTCGATGTTGAGTATTTAGTTTTTCACTTGGAATGACCTTACAATCCTTATATTCTCGACGATCTCTTCTTCTCATAAAAAAATAATTAATTTATGTTTTGTTAGATTCATTTTTACAACTAATAATATGCTAATCTCTTTTCTTAAATAAAGTATCAGCAATAATACAATCATAAGCTAAAACAAAATATAACATGATTTTACCCTCTTTAATAATCACTTCAAAACTGTAGCCACCATAAATATTTCTAAACTCTTCTAGCACTACCAACATGTCCATTTAAAACTTCTCAAATAAAAGTTCTTTCTTTAAGAGGTATCATTTGTATTAATTTCTCTAAGTTATTCCAGAATTTTTCTTTAGAACCTATATCTAAAACTACTTGAGGAGTATAAACACTTGCAACATTAAAAATCTTAATATCAATAACAATCTTAAGGAATATAATTCTTTATCCAATTTTATTAATTTTTAAAATATTATTTTCAAACTTTTCATCTATAATTACACCTACACAATTTCTAGTGCGACTCCTACCCGAATTCTAAAGTTTAAACCTTAAGTTATCAATCTTTTTAGTCTGTTCTCAAACTCATTTAGTTTCTTGAATACAAAAGATATTTATCTTCTTATGAATCATAATTTCAACTAATTGTATTAATTTACCTGTGAGTGTTTATATTCCAAGATCCAATCCCAATTTTGTTTCATAGACTAACTTTTTTACTCGCATCCATCTGTACTGTAGGAACCCTTGCTTATTTGACAGTACAACTGAGCGCCGGTGTAGCGGCTTTTGCACTTTTTTATTATATTTGGGTCATACAATGTATTGCTTTCAAGGGATGCCCTAGTATTTACACAAGAATTTAAAAGATCTATGTCATGATTTTTTGACAAATTTTACGCTGGTTGTCACCTACTTAACGCAACGCTTCACTTTTCAAATTTGCGGTTTGAGATCCAACAATGAAAGTGTTACAATATATTTATCCATGTATTTGAAAATAAACCTTTTTTGGGAATTTTATTTCAAAGGGAGTAAAAGCGATAAAATTTTATATTTTATTCATTTTAAGCACTATAAGCAATTAACACCTTCAAACGCCTTAACCTTCCTGGACTAGATTGTGAACTCCAAAATTATGATGCTCTGGACTCTTGTTTTTTGTGAGAGCTTTGTAGGTTAAATTTTCAGAATGTAGATAAGATAGTTGATAAGACACTACCCAAATATTTTACTCTTAATTTGTGAGTATTTTTTGATCTGAGACTCGAGGTTTCCCATAGGTGCAAGCCTATATGGTTAATTATCCCTTCCGATAACAGACGAGCACTTTCGATTAAATTTAGTCATTTAGAGAACATATTGTACAGCAAACATATATTTTAAATTATAAATTAGTCATTTAGAGAACATATTGTACAGCAAACATATATTTTAAATTATAAAATCTCACTTGGAGCTTAAAGCAGATTGGGGAAATGATGATGAACCGGATCAAGATCTTATGGTTCCATCATTTCAGGTCAATGTGGTTCCTGATCTAGTTAGTCAGAGAATGTAGTCAACCCAACCCGATTGAAAGATTTTTATCAGCAACCATTTGTTGCGTTGTTCAAGGGAACCTTGTAGATCTAAGGTGGAAGTTTATCTAAGAGGACAAATTTAAGTGGATCTTAGCTAATAGAACTAATAGAAGACTTCGTGCCAATCAGATGTAACCGTAATTTAAATGGGAGAAGGTCGTTGGGGAACATACATACTACGACTGTAATTGTAATATAATGATGTCATTTGGCTGCAACCACGCCGTTAGAAGGTTCTGGTCGTAACCATTATTTTATGGAGTCTTTGGGCCAAATCACGTGGACAGATGACTTGGGCCAAGTCCTCATTGGCGTAAAATTACTTTGAGTGTGAATATAATGATACACTCGATATGTCATTCACTCTTTCATGAAGTCAATCAAAAGTTTGTCACCCTCGATAAATTGTTGCCGGTAGATGTGATTTGTTCTAAGCTTTTAAGTGTTATTTGAATATTTAATTTGTTACTTTGAAAATTTATTTT